CTCAGAGGCGACAGACTGTTTCATAATAGACGCTGACGATTACATCGAGCATGAAACAACCTGTCGCCTCCGTGTGTTGACTTCAATATATATATATATATATATATATATATATATATATATATATATATATATATATGGGGGGAGAGAGGAGGGGCATTTTCTCGAAAGACATACTAGGTCTGAATGCGTGGTATGTTGACACATTCGGAAATCTAATTATCCCCGCCGAGTTAAATTCCTATATGTTCGAATGCTGATTTTTCAAGCATTGTAAGAAATCGATGATTGTAAGACTGAAAACAATACGATCTTCAAAATCATTGTCCGTGTTGGAACTCTTTTAGAAGGGTTAGTCAGTAGGAAATATGTCTATATTTTTGCTCAGTGCTGACGACGCAACACTGATTGAATATAAATCGATAGTTTAAATTGTTTACATTGTTCGGACGCCTCTTCCGGATATCTCGCTTTTAATTGAACGCTTCAAGTTTTTGTTCACTTCTGCTTCAGAAAGGTTTTCATTTCACAACCCTTCGGGTCAAGTCACGGGATTCAAGCAACACTTTTATCCACTGAGCCATCTACCCCGGTAGACGAAATGAAGTGTTCGGCTCGAAATTCCAATCACCTGAAGAAGGCCAGAGTGAACAACGGTCGAAACGTCGTGAATATGGCAAATGAAACGAAGACAACAGCCCGCCAATCTGAGTACCGATGGGTTACAAATATACAAAGCCCGATACACGATTCATTACACCCAATAAAAGACACATACATCACAGACAAAATGGCGAAATATGGTGACAGGGTTTGATAAAAGCAGTGCAAAACCTTACAGGTGGAGACCAGTTAGAAACAGATCCAGGCTTGTTAACCTAATCCCCCCAGACAATTTCGAAATGACAGTGTCCTATTCCCTAGAAGTGAATTTGAACTTCTCTGGTAGCCTTTAAACTTAAAAAAAATGATCCCTTTCGACAAACAGCCATGTTGCTCTCAGTCAATTTCGGACACTAACAGAGATGCATAGTGTGGCATCTCCCAAAGAGACATGAGCCCCTAGTTATGGTCAGGCAACCGACACAAAAATCTAAATTTATACTGAACGAGATATTTACTGTAGCATATTTTAATTCAGAAAAAAGACATTTTGACACTACCAATAAATGAACATCGGAATCAATGGAAGGTATGCCTGGTGTACCACCAGAGGATTTATTATTATTATTTTTATTTTCTTTGATTTCTGGCGTTTACGCATTTCTTTCCGTGTCCCGCCTAAGGTTAGAAACGGCATCATGACACTATCCACTGACAAAAAAAAAAAAAAAATTAAATGAATAAAGCCCTTCGTAAAGTGTGGGCTGTACTTGTCAGAACAATTTTTTGTATCTCCTTGAGGCATGGACTTCCAGGAATCAATTCAATTAGTCTACTGCAATCTTTTCCAACCAGTCCTAGGGCTCCAACTACAACAGGGATTGTTGATGTTCCCATATGCCACATTTTCGAGATTTCTATTTCAAGGTCCTTGTATTTTGAGAGCTTTTTGAATATCTTCAACGATACATTGCAGTCAGCAGGTACTGTCATATCAATAAGGAGGTACCGTTTTTGTTTGTGGTCTTTAATAAGATTACCTGGGCGGTTGGCTTTTATTGTTCTGCCAGTGTGTATTGTGTAGTCCCACAGAATTGTAACAGGTCTTATCTCCGTAACCGGGTCTGGTTGGTGTTCTTACCAGTTTCTTTCAGTTTTCTTCCCGTAGAAGTTGCAGATTTTCCAGTGCAGATATTGGCCCACTCTGTCATGCCGGGTTTTATATTCAGTGGGTGCCAATATCGTTCAACCTGATACAAGAGGATCAATCGTTTCTGGATATTTATCACAGAATCTGCATTTTGGTCTGACACAATATTTTAGTATATGTGCTTGATAATTTCTAGTTAGCAAGCATTGGTCCTGTGCAGCAAAGATAAAACCTTCAGTTTCAGCTTTCAACCCTGCACTACGTAGCCATTTATGGGTACGGGTTTTGTCTACGTCAGCTTGTTTGGTACGGGTAGAGTATTGGCCATGAAGCGGTTTATCTTGCCATCGCTTCTTTATCTGGTCGGTTGCATTCGTCTTTGCTGTCTTTTTTAAGTATTTTGCAGTTTCAGCCGGTGTATTTTGCTGTAGTTGCATCTCTACGCCCAATTGGAACTCCATTTTGAATTTGTCGGCTTCTTTTATTACGGAGTAAAGACGCTTACTACTTTCATGTTCTTTGACACATACCATCCTCCAGTCATCTGTAGTTTTCAGGTATCTTTGGAGGCCAATTGTTGTAGTTTTGTAGGACAGTTCTAGTTGAACTAATCCTCTGCCGCCTTCGGATCTGGGCACATACAGACGATCAACATCGGCTTTGGGATGATGCATCCGATAGCAAGTGAGAAGCTTTCTCGTTTTGGCGTCCATTCGCTTAATTTCAACTATGGTCCAGTTAAGGACATTAAAGCTGTATTGCACCATAGGGACAGCCAATGTGTTTATGGCTGATATTCTGTTTTTTTTTTTTAGTTTAGCTCAGTATTTAGTACCAGACGTACACGCCTATAGTACTCTTTTCTTATTTTTTCCTTCATTTGGTGGTGTTGTATGCCATCTCCTTCGCTAATTCCTAGGTACTTATAAGCTTCATCATGCTCCAGTTCCCTAATCTTTGTGACAAAATCTAAATCTGTTATGGGTGTTTCTGTAATTCTACCTTTCTTGAATTATTATTATTATTATTATTATTATTATTTTCTTGAATTTCTGTTGTATAGACATTTCCTTCCGTGTCCCAACTAGGGACCAAAAGTCAGAAACAACTTTATGACATTTCCCATTGATCTTTTATGTGTAAAAAAAAACAAACAATTAAAATAACAAAAAATTACATAGATAATGCTTTTCCTAATGTTTGTGCGATACTTTTGAGTACAATTTTTTGTATGTCTTTAAGCCATGGACTACCAGGAATCTCTTCAATGAATCTATTGGGACCTTTTCAAATCAATCGGCTGGCTCTAACTACAACCTAAATTATTGATGTCCTCATGCGCCACATTATTGCGATTTCCACTTCAAGATCCTTGTATTTGGAGTTTTATGAAGATCTTAAAAGATACTTTACAATCAATAAGGACTGCCATGTCAGTATGAAAGCACATATTTTTTTTTTTTGGGGGGTTGAACTCGATGTCTGGGCGATTAGTTTTGATTATTCCTTCCTGTGTGTATTATAAAGTGCAATAAAATTGTTACTCTTTCTTTCTCTTTAACCGGGTCTGGGTGATGTTCATACCAGTTTCTTACAGTTTCTTTCCCGTAAAAGTTGCATATTTTCCAGTGCAAATATTGGTTCGCTTTATCATGACGAGTGCTTGCTTAATCTGTGCAACCTGATGCAAGATGTTCAATTGTTTGCATTAAAGATCAACACAATTTTTCAGTACGTGTTCTTGGTAATTTCTAATTAGCAAGCTTTGAACCTGTGCAGCAAGGATAAAACCTACGGATTCAGCTTTTTTTTTTTGTATTTTTATAGATTTTTGAAGATCTTCAAAGATACATTGCAGTCTGCAGAGACTGCCATATCAATAAGGAGGCACTTTTTTGTTTGCGGTCTCTAATAACGACGTCTGTGCGATTAGCTTTGATTGTTCTTTCTCTGTGTATTGTAACGTCCCATAAAATTGTTACAGGTCCTATCTCTGTAACCGGTTCTCAGCGATATTCAAACCAATCTCTTATTAAGGTTTCTTCATTAAATAACCTATGCAGGTCGATATGTCTCTAAACAAAACAAACAACAACCTCTCTTAGACTGAATATAATAATATCAGAATGTAAATTATGATGGAATTAATACAGGCTATTTTCCATATCGCTTCTATTATTATCTCAACGTTTCGAACGCTGCGTCTTCTGAACATTATCAGATGTACGGCCATTCCGGTAGCCTACACGGAATTTCGAAGTGTACCAAATCCACTGCCCATGCCTCAGGATATCCCGTCTAGTTCTAATTTTAGCAGGTGTGCCTGATGGTTGTTTTTTTTTTATTTGTAGGTCTTGTAGCTAATGACTTGTTTTCCACACTGCAACCTGTTTCCCCACAGTCGAAATGTTACTAGCCTCTCGCTACTCCATCGTTATTTTCAGGGGAGATGGCGGGCAAAATATATTTCTTCGTTTTCCCCAGTCGAGACCTTTAGAGCCAGGCAACGTCCACTGAGCCGTGTCATCCTCATTCCTTTCATATTCCACTGGTGTGTAGGAAGAAACACATTCCCCAAAATCTATTGCTATTGGAACGGGACCCCATGATACCGAGAACAGAATAATATTGACCTCTTCAAGTCGAGGGTTAACCTTTATCTATCCTACATATCATCAAAATATGCACCTGCTGTTTCCTCCTTATACGCCCTTGCAACAACCTCATTAAAGTAGCCATCTACATCGAGTGGCTCTTGGGCATTGTATCGTGTCCACAATGGTAAAAGAGATTGAAGGATTTCAACAATAATATAAAAAGCTGGTCCGAGTTCGAATTCCAGTCGAATCAATTTCATTCACTTACGTGCTAATACCCTTGGGAAAGGTATGAATTCTCTTCTTCTCCCCCCAGCTATGGGTAAATAGCAGGACAGACAGAGTTCTATAGCCTTGGGTGGCAACTGATCTACCGCATAAAGAAATGGCAACCCACTGCGGGAAAAAATTAGCCTCGTCAGTCATGTATCGAAAGATACATGATCGCCTAAGTGTGTATCATGCATGGCACATAACTGACTGAAGTAGATCTTAAATGGTATTTAGTGAAGAAATAACCGCAATTATAAAAAAATAAATAATTAAATAAAAACAAATGTATTTTTAATTAATGAATTATATTAAGAAACGAAAGAAAGACAAGGAGATGAATGAAGAAGGTCTGGGTATAAAAGAAAATATGGAGAGACATGAACAAGGGAATTGGTAAGAAAGGGTTACTAAAAGAATAGTTGATTGCATCGAAAAAGAGAATGGGTGGTTCAAAAACATGGTTATGAAAAGCAAAAACAAAAAAAAACAAAAAAAAAAACGATTACTTTAACAGAAAAAAAATCTCACAGACAAGAACCAACAAATATCTAAAACAGGATGAATCCTTTTGGCAAATGAACGAGAAAAAAACATTCGAAAGAGACGTACATTCAGACAGTTGCAAGAACCTATGAACATACACATTCTCTCACTCTCTATCTCTCTCTTTTTCTCTTTCTCTCTCTCTCTCACGCACCCACACTGCATGTTACACATACACACAATCAAAAATAGACAAACACACACACAAACCAGCACAAAAGAAGTCTCCAGTGACAAAAAACAATGGTCTGGAACTAAGAAAAGAAATTCAACAACTTAACAAAAATTACAATAAAAATTAAAATGAGAAAAACTTTGAAGAAAGGAGTTAGTTTAAGATAATTTATAAAAAAACAAAAAAAAAAAACATAACTGTATTCTGGTTTGTATAAGTTTTTGAGCAAATATTTACTTTATTTTCCAGAATTTTAATGTCTTTTACTACGATGCAAGTATAAATTTAAACTGATATTTAAGAATGAAAAAAAAGTAATAAAGTGTTTCTTTAAAAAAATGAAGTTCAGAAGATATAATGATTTTATTGGCGGAATCGATCATATATAATTATTTCAAATATTCTTATTAGTGGAGATATATATATATATATTTGAAATAGACGCCCTACCGGCCTGCGTATGCGAGAAAGATTAAAGAAAATGTGACCTCCACCATTTTCTTTATTAAGAATACTCAGATTGAGAGGGCGTCTATTACTAATATGTGTATCCACTAATGATATCGTCTTAATTAATAAAATAAACTGATTAATTTTATATATATATATATATATATATATATATATATATATATATATATATATATATATATATATGCGGGAAAACAATATATAGATATATGATGAAAAATTAAGTCGAAAACTTGAAGGGAGAAAGAGAGAGAGAGAAAAAAAATCAATGCTGATTTTTGCAAATTCTCCCTTTCCATAATCGTTAAAGTTCAAAAGCTTTGGTGCTGCTTTCTGGAAGATGGATTGTTTTCCGCCCTACAAACAATTTCCCACAATCTATCGAAGGTTTTGTGGCACATATTCCGGTAAAATATATTCCTTTATATGCACCAATCGAGACCTCCAGAGCCGAGCCACGAACACTAAGCCCACTCGTACTCCGTGTCTTCATATGTCATTGGTAAAGAATAAGTTCCACATAGCTTCTTCCCCAGAACTGTCGCAATTTTGAACGGAACCCAAGGTCACTACAACCTTAACCACTACAAGTCATGTGTAACCGTTTCTATAGTAGGTATCGTCATAAAATTCAACATTTGTTAACTTCCTATCTATAGCATATCTATATATGTTCTCTCAAAATGAAATTGTCGATTCTTGCCAAATTGTTAACCTACGGGCTGTAGTTTTATCAAATACATTTTCTTAAAGAAAATACGCATCAACATATGTTAAATATTTAAATAATTATATACATAAATAATTTATCAAAATAAAATACATAAATAATAATTACATTAATATATTTTATTATATATATATATATATATATATATATATATATATATATATATATATATATCACAAATATAATCACAAATTTAATAACATAAATAGAATTAATATATAACCTCCACAAATCAGGCCCTACGCACATTTCTCACCCACGCAAGACAGAAATGCTTGCGGAGGTGTTTAGGCCTCACACCTATACCCACACCATATTAATATACACACTTACACACATCATACTCACTCACTCCCTAATGAACTAAATGATAATACACACCCATAGTAATATTCATATTTACACACATCATACTCACTCACACCCTAAGAACCAAATAACACACACACTTAACAGTGACACATCCCCTTTCCAGGAACCAACAAAACTGTCAAAATGACCAAGGTAATTCAGAGCAGCATGAATCTGTCCAGCTTTTATCTTAAATAACAACTTATAAGAGTTTGTTTGACCATCACAAGGACTGAACAAAATTCACGATAAAAGATAAAAAAATAAAAAAACAAATGAAAACTACAGACAAAAGTTCATTTTCTCCATCAAGGCATTCATTTCTGTAGTTCACTGCTACTAACAAATAGATATTGTTTTTCCTGATGATAGCCATGTTGGCTGAAACTAGTCGAGGAATCTAACTGGAATAATAAAAATGAAAGAATATTAATATACAACCCAGTGTATCTGAAGATTTTAATTTTTTTAATAGTTTTTATTGTTCAAAACACACAAGAAAAATCAAGCAGGTACAAAAATTGAAATTTCTTGCAAGTGTTCTACAATTTCTCTCTGAATTAAACTGTGACTTTATTGTCCATGTGAATATTTGAAATAAACATCATCCAGCGGTTTCCCAACTCATAGGTGCGACGGAAGAGGATAGCAGGTGAGGCGGAAGAGAATAGCAGGTGAGGCGGAATGATTGAAAGACAATCAAAGATTAGGTACAGTTTTGAAAAATTCATATGTCAAAAACTAAATATGATTTCAAAATCTAAAATATTATTATGAATTACTTGTAATTGCATGCATGAGTCCCAGTATAAATAGTTATAAATAATTATTAACCGATTTTTTTCACTGTGATGTTTTTGCAAGTATTATGAATATAGTAACTAGGATCCGCAAATTTGGAGGAGAGAGTTATCAATAATAATGTTCTGACTTTGAATACGCAGTTATCTCCCTTTAACCCACTGTGTGTGTGTGTGTGTGTGTGTGTGTGTGTGTGTGTGTGTGTGTGTGTGTGTGTGTTTTAATGTAGTGTTATTAGATAAAACTTGGTGAGATGTGAAACTACTGACTAAGCAAAAAATATAAAAAAAAAGGAAGAAGAAAACTAGCATTTCAGGAAACAAACGTTAATATTCTAAATTCATTTAGTCATATAATAAAAGTATAACATATTTATTTCACGGTGTCTGATTATCTAAGACCGCCATAACACAGACATCTTCGATCTCTTTGCTGAGAGGAAAGTAAATAAAGCAGTTAATAATCTTTATATATTTGACAGTAAAGGCAAGCCAACGGGAATATTACCACATTCTGGTACTTTTTTTTTTTTATTCATCTTGACAAACGTATAAAAACGCTTTATCGTCCTAACTGTAAAAGAATATCTAAGAGAAATCTTTATGATTTCATCATAACGTTAAAGACTTGACGACTAAATATTGTCTTCAAATATCCAGAGATTAAATATAACAAAATAATATCAAGCAAAATATTTCCCCACGCCTGTTTATATATCAAATAAAAACCGGTGCACTCTCTCTCTCTCTCTCTCTCTCTCTCTTGCTCTTCTGTGTCCCATCCCCCTCTCTCTTTCTCTCTCTTCCTCTTCTGTCTCTCACCCCCTCTCTCTTTCTCTCTCTTCCTCTTCTGCCTCTCACCCTCCTCTCTATTTCTCTCTCTTCTGTCTCTCACCCCCTTTATCATTTTCTCTCTCTCTCTCTTTCTTCCTGTTCTGTCTCTCGCCCCTTCTCTCTTTCTCTCTCTTCCTCTTCTGTCTCTCACCCCCTCTCACTTTCTCTCTCATCTTAGTCTGTCTCTCATCTCCTCTATCACTTTCTTTCTTCCTCTTCTGTCTCTCACCCCCTCTCTCTTACTCTCTCTTCTGTCTCTCACCCCCCTCTATCACTTTTTCTCTCTCTCTCTTCCTGTTCTGTCTCTCACCCCCTCTCTCTTTCACTCTCTTCTTCTTCTGTGTCTCACCCCCTCTCACTTTCTTTCTCTCCCTCTTCTGTCTCTCAACCCCTCTATCACTTTCTCTCTTCCTCTTCTGTCTCTTACCCCCTCTCACCCCTCTCTCTTTCTCTCTCTTCTGTCTCTCACCCCCTCTATCACTTTTTCTCTCTCTCTCTTCCTGTTCTGTCTCTCACCTCCTCTCTCTTTCTCTCTCTTTCTCTCTCTTCCTCTTCTGTCTCTCAAAACCCCCTCTCACTTTCTCTCTCTCCCTCTTCTGTCTCTCATCCCCTCTATCACTTTCTCTCTTCCTCTTCTGTCTTTCATCCCCTCTCGCCCTCTCTCTCTCTCTCTTTTCTCCCTCTATCGCTTTCTCTTTATCTTCCTCTTCTGTCTCTCATCTTCTTTCTCTCTTTCTCTCTCTTTCTCTCAGAATATTTTTAGCAAAAAAAGAAAAAAAAAGAAAATATTAAATGTTTTCTCGAAACAAGGTCTTAAACTAAAGGACCGATAAAAATCCAACGAAAAAGTAATAAATAAATAAAGTAATATCGAATTACATAAACAGTTGATATTAAATATCACTGCAATACGTAATTTAAAAATTACTTAGCTAAAAAGGGCGTTAAACGTGTGGGGACAAAAAGAAATTCTGTAAAAATAACAAACAGCAATAATAGGAGAAATATTTTTTAATAATTCGTGTGTACAGTTCTATTCAAAGGAAGAGATTGATTTAATAAATGCCCAAATAAAAGAATTGTTGATATATATATATATATATACAAAAGTAAACTGTTACAAAATAAAAATATACATAAAAAAAAATCAATAAAGAGCACATTTTATTAAATTATTCGCAATAAGGAAAAGCGGCCTTTTTTGAGTGCATTTTTCGTTTGTATAGAATACAGAAGTATATTTAATTTGAATAAAATCATCTTTAATTTCAATAGAGGAATTTAAAAGTTGAATAGAGATATCTTTACTTTGAGCAGACGTATCTTTAATTTGAATAAGGCATCTTTATTTTGAATAGAGGAACTTTTAATTTGAACAGAGATATCTTTACTTTGAACTGAGGTATCTTAATTTGAATAAGGCATCTTTAATTTGAATAGAGGAACTTTTAATTTGAATAGCGGTATCTTTAATTTGGATAGATGGATCTTTAATTTGAATAGAGGTATCATTAATTTGAATAGCAATATCTTTCATTTGCAGAGAGGTATTTTTATACATATTTTTTATTTGAATAAAGGTATTTTAATTTTAATATTGGCTTCTTTAAATTGAACAGAGGTATCTTTAATTTGAATAAAGCATCTTTAATTTGAATAGACACATCTTTAATTTGAATGAAGGAATCTTTAATTCGAAAAATAGCATATTTAATTTGAATTGAGGAATTGTAAGTTGAATAGAAATATCTTTAATTTGAATAAAGATGTTTTCATTTGAATAAAGGTCTCTTTAATTTGAATAGAGACATTTTAAATTTTAATAGGATTATGTTTAATTTCAGTAGAGAAAATTATAGATAAAAGCTAACAAAAAGTAAGAGGCATGTAATACATATCCCGGTATCCTCTCAAGGAAGAGGTCTACTGAATTATGTTTTATGAACTTAAAATAAATGATAAGACGTGAAATTTATGTAGTCATGTAGGACAGATAACGGTTAAACCAAGAAGCGATTAAGATAGTAATCTTGGGAAAAAAAAATCCTCCTCGGAGTCTGTTTCACAAAATAACAGTCCGTGTGACGTATAAGTGGAACTTCTTTCTTACTAATGGAATACAAAGGGAAATAGAATTATTCTGCCCAGTGTACGTGACATGACTGATCTTAGCTTCGAAGGTTAGGACTGGCAGATATAAAAGAATGTTGCTCGTCCAAACCTTTGCCATCGAAATAGTGATAGATTAGAGAGAGGATTACGATGCTTGGTCTGTGAGTAAAGGGTTGCTGGGTAGAAAATAATTTATTATTTACAGGGCCCTGTAGAGGCTTTTTTAAATCTGCCAAGATGGGCAAGGGAGGTCTGGGCAGCTCCGGCCCAGATATTTTTCTGCTGCGGCTCTTGCAAAACCGAGCATACGAAGATTCAGATACGTCAGTGGTAAAGAAACCGATCATTTTCTCGGCATGTTTAGCAATGGATCGTATTTTGGTCAGGGGTAAACTTGAATTCCAATAGGCGTTCAAGTTATATACTGATATATAATAATCAAATCAAAAGGAGATACTAGCTACGAAGTTACGCATTCGACTCACCGACATCTGCCATTGTGCAATTCTAATGCACTCTATCGTGAGAGTCTGTATTACGTAGGCTTCTAGATTGATTGGTTAGTTGATACGTTTCCTACGGGTTATCAAACCTTCGCGGATTATCTAAAGCCAGATAATTCTTTGGGATTTTAAGTTGTACGCTTCGGCCTTCTTCATGTGATTGGAATTTCGAACCGAACTCTTTAACGTTGCGAATATGGCAATGCAGTTGAAGATAACAGTCCGAGTAATGTAAATAATGTAAGTAATTATAATACCCCATCTCAGAGATATACACAGATTCTTTTTCTCGCATTTCTCGCTTGTGGAAATCTCTTCCGGCTCATATGAGTTCCAGACAAAAATTTAAATACAGTGTCAATCGCTATCTACTCTCCTCCTGATTACACTTTTCCCTTTCAGCTCAATATTAATGATTCTGTTCGTAATTTTTCTACACCATGTAATCCCTTGTTTTTTTTTTGTTTTTTTTTTTGTCTTGTGTGGGGGGGTGATACCGATTAAAAAAATTCATTTGATATCAAATACATTTTTTTTTATCTTAGAATTAAATCCAATACAAACCTTCAGGGTTATTTTTACGATGACGAGTGTGGTATGAATGGAAGAGGATTTGGTAAGGGGTGAAGAATATGAGGATGTGGAGAGTAGATAACGATTGACTTCTAAAATTTTTAAGATGTTAAGATTGTAGCTTCCAGAGACGATTCGTTCTACAAAAGAGAAATTCAAGGAGATAGTAGCTGCTTGATTGGAACTTTCTTCTCGCATTTGGAATAGAGAAGAAACAAGGTTGATTAGACACCGTAAAACTATCAATAATGGTTTGTACTAAAGTATTACTCACTTCATACACATGCAGCAAACAAGTCGGCTTACAACAAAATCAAATTGAAGCACCGAAGTGAAGCAACGTCGAGCATCGTCAGTAACTGGATGGGTGACAACTTGTGAATAACACATGATGCAAGCAGGGAGGTGCGGGTGGTGTAGTAGATACTGGCTCGGAATTAATAATTGAGTTCCAGTTCGAGATGGGTTCGTTACATTGACTTAAGACCTAATACCCTTGGGTAATGTATAAATCCAACGTTTTTTCGCCTCCCCAGATATGGATTAATTGGTTAGAATTGTATCACTATATCGTTATTATCTCCAAAAGAAATCTTACAATGTAAAAAAAATTTTTTTCTGGCTTTAAACAACCTGCAAAAAAGTTATGATAAGTGTATAAAAATGAATCAATTTTCTTAAAGACGAAGAGTAGTTTTGAGGCAACAGAAATTGGTTTCTACAGAAAAAATAAAACGATGCAAATACCATAGATAGAACATGTGTGAAACGAGGAAGTCTTAGGGAAAATGGAAGCGCAGAGGACACTTAGAATAAGGAAGCGTTTGGAGACATCTCGTCTTGTTCTTATTTAACTGAGCAGTACTAAAATTAAGAATTAGACAAGATATAGATAGCACTAGCTTTTCACCCACTAGCTTTGGGTTAATTAACGAGGCTTCTGTCCCTAAATCAGTATTATCTAAAAAAAAAAAACTAATCTTACAATCAAAAAATAGTTTCTGATTTTATATATCCTGCAAATGGCTGATAATCCGTAGAAAACGAATAAATGAAGCTCTGCACCCAAGCAAATCACCATCGACCTTCAGAATGTTGCAAATTTATTTTTCGTTCAGGTATATATGCAAACGTGCCTCGTTTTTTTTTATTTGTTCGGTAACCAAGTTTCAGGCATTTCTGAGCATTACTTTAAACGAAAACCTCACACGAGTGCTCACATTTACGGCAACCTTTCACGCTGCCATTTACCTTAGTTATTTGAGCCACATTGTATACATTATGTGTTCATGCTCTTTTCAAACTTTTCGCTGTTGCATCCTAAGTAATTCGGGACAGATCCATTTAAGTGGGCTCGATTTAGAACGAGCACAGGGCAAGGGTTTCGCACATAATAACCTTTGTTTAATATATCCTTTTTTTATTTCTATTATTATTTGTTAATCCGAGAAGCTGTTAGAGGTCAATGTCGAAAAACATTTCACCGAGAGAAATGATTATATCACCAGTGCATAGAAAAGGTCAGAGTTTAAATCATACACAGATAGGTATGTCGTAGCGATATACAGATAACGAATACATAGATAGGATTGAGAGATAGAAAAGGTGCTCGTTCTTCATTATAAGCCGTAGGCGATCGTGGTCCTCCACAACTTCATGTCTTCGGGAGATCTTTTTTTGCTTTTTCTCTTAATTCCTGTTACGCCATTCATTTACGGGAAGGCTTGAAGTATAGTATACTTTCTTTTCCTATGTCCATCTTTCTCTCAACCTCTCCTGTGAGTATCTGATTTTCCAAGTCCTCCGTCCTTATTGTGTGCCCCAGAAATTTCTCTTCCTGATGTTAAATATACATTTCTTTTTTAAAATTATTCGGACTATTGTCCTCGTCTTTGTTGCTAATTTTATCACAACGTTTCGACGTCACAACCGTTGTTGTTATTTCGGTCGTTTGTTGCTATTTTTATCACAGCGTTTCGACGTCTCAACCGTTGTTGTTATTTCGGTCGTTTGTTGCTATTTTTATCACAACGTTTCGACGTCTCAACCGTTGTTGTTATTTCGGTCGTTTGTTGCTATTTTTATCACAATGTTTCGACGTCTCAACCGTTGTTGCTATTTCGGTCGTTTGTTGCTATTTTTATCACGTTTCTTCACGTGGTTGGAATGTCGTATTGAACTGACACTCTTTGGGTCCTGTCAATGGATCTAAGTAACGCCTTTATCCACTGTGCCATGTGTACTTGAGGACATATGTGTGTGAATTTCTGGGTATTATAAATCTTCAGCCCATATTTTTTACCAGAGTTCATATTGCAATTATGTTTGTTATTATCGCTTTTCTCTGGCACGCATTATTACTGAACCCATATTGTATTCATTTCTATGCTTGGTCGGCTCAGGAGATTTTTGTAGCCAGCATATGTGCTGCTTCCTTCAGTTTACAAATTTTACAATGATGTTCTTTGTCTATTATTTCAGCTTGATCCCATGGTGGAGAACTTGGAGAGGGGAATTAACAGGAGATAACTGGCATCCATTAGACAGGGCATGTGGAACTAGAACAGTCTGCCCCAGTGAGCGAAATAAAGGGTTCAGTTCGAC